ATAAGTCGACCTCGAAGAAACGCATTTCGTTCGAGGTCGACTTGTGGCAAGTCTACTCATTTACAATAACATTAGTTCGACGCGAATTTTAATACAAGTATGGTATCATATTTCATAATACAACAAACAATGTAAACTAACCATACATTTTGCCGAACATAACTTCGGCCCCATTGGACATATCTTTTTCGTGATAATGTTATTGGAAACAGAATCGAAAACATTATTTATAGTGTTATTTTCAAGCTTGTTATTTTCATCTTTTATTTCGGTATTTACAGAATATTTATATTTTTAACGCGGCCCATGGAACGCACATGAAAACAACGCGCTGTTAGGAAAAAATGGAAATCGATTCTGTAGGTCGGCATGATTTGCACGTGCATCGAGCTCCATTACGTCTCCCGAAAAGGTCTTTTATTTTTTTAAAAAGTCCATAAAATTTGCTTGCGGTTTAAGATTTGTATTCCTGCCTTTTGCACCATAGCACGTATCTCGTTATTTTCAGGCCAGTGTGAACGCCTGAGCAGGCGTCTTGTTATTGTTAAAAACATTCAGTTTACTGATCTTGAATTATGCTTAATTGATTTTTCTAATTAGTTTTTCAATTAAAAGGGTGTAAATGCGCCTTAAAAACCATCATTCAAAAGGCTGAACTGTGCCTTTACCGCTTTTGATTCACGATCGATGGCGACGGCGTCTTGTTTTAAATCATGAACGTGAAACTGCATCGAATCGACTCAAGGGAGCACGCCAGAAATATTTGTGTAAATTTATACTAACCTTTTAATTACATGTAAATGTTTTCAATTTTCATCGGGCGCCATTTTGAATGTTGAAAGCGGTATAGCTTATCGCAGGCGCAATAATTTATGTTCATCTTTGACATTAATTTATGTTACACGATGATACTCCGAAGGGCGACCGAGAAAGATCCGAAATTTAAAATAAGGCGGAGAAATAATAAAAAATAAAGAGGGGAGTGAAACGGCCAACTATTATCCACTGATGCTGGTTGACTGTTACTAGGAACATTTGATGTTGCTAGGAACAAACCGGAAACAAAATGAGACCTACTATTACGGGAACCACTGAGTATTTTAATATAATATACTGTAGAACAACAAATATAATATAATATACTGTAGAAAATAATTTTTTTTTATTATTTTCGGATTTACCGTTGATTTATATTTGATCTACTATAATTAGTTCAAGCGAGTCACATTAGAATATATTATTAAAATTGGGGACAATGGCGAGAGTTTGTATACCAGATAAACATCGGCTGCTCGTGTTTTAACGTGCTTAAAAGACGACCCATCATATGAGTTCATTGGCGAAGTAATTTTAAAAATAAACATTGTCTAAGCCGAGAAAATCGAAGCAGAAGTTTATGTAAATGAGGACAATTTACAAATCTATTATCCAATCGATTTACATACATTGATTAACATTCATTTCTTTTGAATTTCCTTCATGAATTATTAATACTGTATTTTGTGTCCAGCATTCGCAAATGTTTTTGTTTCTCTGCTGTCGAAAATTCACTGCTGGCGAGCAACGATGCAAATCAATACAAGTTTTGATATATTTCAGATTCGACAGTCCTTGGTCAACGAGCATGGCCAGATAACGAAATTGGATATACGCATTGTCATTGGCCAATACCCCATCACGTGTTCGGCCGTTTCACTCCCCTCTTTATTTTTTTTTTTATTTCTCCGCCTTATTTTAAATTTCGGATCTTTCTCGGTCGCCCTCGGAGTATCATCGTGTAACATAAATTAATGCGCCTGCGATGAGCTAATAATATATACCGCTTTCAACATTCAAAATGGCGCCCGATGAAAATTGAAAACATTTACATGTAATTAAAAGGTTAGTATAAATTTACACAAATATTTCTGGCGTGCTCCCTTGATCGACTGCCTTTCTTAAATGATGACTGCCTTTCTTAAATGCCTTTCTTGAGTGATGGTTTTTAAGGCGCATTTCAGCCCTATTAAATTAATTGAAAAAACTAACTAGGAAAATCAATTAAGCATAATTGAACAACAGTAAACTCAATGTTTTTAACAATAAAAATGTTTTAAAATGTTAAAAACATTAAGTTTGCCGAGTGCCTTTAATAAACGTCGTAATCTTAGGCTTTATGCAGCAATTATCAGAATGTTCATCTATCTTTATAGTTCGTTACTATGGCAACACACGCGTAATATTCCCCGCGGACACGAATGGTCGCGCCAAATATACAGTAGCTTAACGTTTTGTTTTCGCGATTCTTATAAAAGGGATTTTGTGTGGAATAATAGATCGAGCCACCTTGTTCTCTGATAAGAACGTCTGCGAAGGAGACTAGCAGGTTGAGGAGAAATTCGAGAACACGAGACATGCATATTTATAATATGTTGAAGATTTTCAGTCTGTTGCAACTTAGCTGAACTATTTACTATGGCTGAACCGATATTAACAGATCTTCTTATATGCTTCTTGAGCTTTGAGTGCAAAAATTGGATTTGAAGACGATTTTTATTCATTGAAAATGTTAGTTTAGTCACGTAACCGACTAAAATCTCTTCGTTTCCTCCAAAAGTAAAACATTGTCTTACGTATGAAAACGTTTTCTCACAACATGACCATGTACTAAAAATTGCGGTTGCCATAGAGTATTTTAATAAAACACAAAACAATAGACACTCCGAAAAAATGAAGATTGAAAACAATTTTCGGAGTGTCTATTGTTTTGTGTTTTATCACCATGTACCCCCTTTCATATAGTTTGTGACTAAACCACATGATTTCTTATTAATGCGAGTCACCAATTTCTAATAAGCCCTGGCATTACCAAACAAAAGCTACATTATTCATTAACAACTTAACAAGGAAACATGCGTTGTGAATGTATTCATCTAAATTCTGAAACATTCGTGGAATTAAAAAGAACAAACACAACAGCGCATGATCGTGATACTCGTTTATATTTATCGGATACAAATAACAGTAATGAAACATATAACATTACAAATTGTAACCGGGAATCGCAACAGCTTTCGGCCAATTACTGTGATTATTTTGTAAATGACGTGCTATTATATAAAATGGGATATATTTTAAGTGAATGTTCGTCTTGGACTGTGTTCTGGTTCACATACAAAAACCCCAAAGATATATCATCATGTGCAACCATGTGCATTACAAGTTTTAATTATTGCTTCATTCTTGAGTTTATTTAGTTTCTCATTCATTGGCGAGAGCTTTTTTCTAACATAATAATCGTCGTCTATTCTTCGACCACTGTAATGCTGGCTTTTTGGTTTCTGTTGGTGAAATTGTTGTTACGCGAACACATGTAGTAATACACACCAGGTTGAAGCTGCAGTAGTAGCCCATGATACGAAGGTGGGTAACAGTCAAGCTGTTGTGCTTCTTGCTCATTACAATCTTCGACCGTGAATGGATTAGGTACAGCAGCTGCAGTTTTGAAATGACCCGCTGTTGCCATGGCAATTGCAATATCGGCCCCAGTTTCTGGCTGCTCATCATCAGCGTCAGGTGCGTCAATAACTGTCGCCTTATCGAAGAGAGTATTCTCGGTGTCTTCCAGTGGATAGCTGACATCAGGACTATTCATGGCAACCAAGTTGTTTCTATCTGTCTCTATTTAATTAAATTAAATCAAATCTACTCAATAGCATAATAACGAAATTCTAATGTTCAGATGGCGATTATTCAGTTAGGATTGATAAGGAAACAAAACACAAAATGAAATTGAAAATATATTTCAAAGATGGTGGGTTTAACCCGCGAATGGGTATTCGGAAATCTCACCCGATTCCCAGGGCGAGCTGCCTGCGGAGGTATAGTGAGGGTATAAGAGTCCATTAATTTGGTACACAGGCCACAGGGATCTACTGAAGTACACTCACAGAAAGCCCATATACTCCGTGCTATTTTTGACCCGTTTAATATTATTGCCTAGTATTTTTGAATTGATTTTTAAATGAATGAATCATTTCGATATTTGTCTAAGTTTGATTTTATGTCATTACTTATGATATGAAAGACTTTACCTGGTAATTGTCTTATATTGACCCAGTGATTGCACCAAGACAACACAAGCGAAGGAAGTATATATTTGAAATTCTTATGACGCAAAACATAACTGAAGCAAATGTGATTTAGTTGATAATGCCGGACAAAATATTGAATCTTAATCTTGTTTCTAAAACTTTCACCTTTGTTGTTCATAATTTATTACTTATTTTTATTTCTCAAGGATATATATATATATATATATTAATTAAATTTGCAACGTTTCGGACATTTTAAATGTCCGTCTTCAGGCGACAACAGTTGCAAAATGTCCGAAACGTTGCAAAATGAGAAATAAAAATAAGTAATAAATTTAAAATATATACATATATATATATATATATATATACATATATATATATATATATATATATATATATATATATATATATATATATATATATATATATATATATATATATATATATATATATATATAT